ATGCTATATCAGAATTTGGAAGTTGTCTTGTGTGGTCGCTAGTTTAGTCTTTTCTACACGTTGCTTTAGTTTATAATGTGAAATATCTATTGGTGCATACAAAGTGTTTGTTTGCTCCATCCGGGCTTACTGAAAAAAGCGGATTTCATGGTGACAAAAAGCTTCTTGAGAAGGAGCTCATTATAGCCTTCGAAAGCATTTCTGTTATTTGTTTAGCATTTGGCCAGCTAAATGCTGTTTAGAATAGATATGCTCGTATAATTTACTGCACCGACCAAACACTACATAAAGAATATACTTCTTTTTTGTTTGGATTATTAGAAAAAGTATCTATTGTTTGATCACACATGGTTTATGTAGGTAAAAAGCTTAATTCATATTACTCTTACTTGATGGTCAATATTGTAGGAATTCACAGACAACCTTATTAAAGAGGAGGTGGTGAGTGAAGATCAAAAAGATTCCTTCAAGGTAAATGTTCATTGCAATTAGGACATTATTATACTGGCTCACTTTTTCAAACTGTACCTGGAATTAAAAATCAAAATGGAAAATGGAGATCTCAAGTTGAAAGAGCTTTCCAAATTGCACCGGCAAATTCTGTTTTCCAGGCCTTTTGTGTCTCTGTGGTGTTTTTCATTTCAACAATGAGAAATAGACAGAATCAAGGCAGAAACGGAAATAGACAAAATGAAGGCAGAAACGGAAACCATTTTCCATACTAAATTTGCTCTACATGTCTCTTTGTTATCTTGGCAATTCCTCTTAAAATAGTTTTTCCCCATTTAATCAGGACTTTGTTGAGGAAAAGGTCCGAGAAGCAAAAAAAGCTAACCGCGAGGTATTTGGTTAAATATTCCTGCAATGACCCTTCTTCGGTTTATACTGCTTCATATTTTCATGAGAAACATCCTATCTGTTTTATCTCACTTCCATGAGCACATCGTCGATTTTCTCTCTTTAGGCAAGGGAATCCCGGAAAAAGGCAATAACAGAAATGAGCGAGGAAACAAAGGCTGCTTTTGAAAATATGAGATTCTACAAGTTTTATCCTGTGCCAACAACTGATACACCTGATGTGTCAAATGTGAAGGTGAGGTTCATGTTTTCAAGTTTTTGCAAGTAGGTGTCTTTAGTCAAGGTTGGTAATTAGCGCAACATAAAAATTGGGATCGTTGAAAAACTTCCTTTATAAAATGACCAAGACTTTATTAGTGTTCTGCTTTGTCCAAAGGTTTACCCACTCCTCCTTAGGTTTGAAAAATGCTTTTTCCCATATTTATGCACTAATAATAGGTTTGAACAATGTATTGGTTTTGCACAAGCAACTTATGAACATGGTTTGTGAAGTCTTACATTTTTTTGTTTGAAACTTGTGCTGCAGTCTCCATTCATAAACAGATACTACGGGAAGGCTCATGAAATTCTATGAGATAGAGAATACACTTTGTTCTAGATGAAATCGGATCACTCATCACACCAGTAGTCCAAAGCTAGTCCAGAGCCGGCCAAGTAAACCAAGCGGTGCAATTTGATTTACGGGCGCAGCTATAATTTTTAGTCTGTACTCCCTTGCAAAAAAAGGACCAGAATTGATGTTTTTTTTATTTGTTTTTTATTATACATTCTCAGTCTGTAGAATGATTACCTCACATTTGAGTGAGGTTCTGATATGCTCCTACCCTAGATGACGTGGATGCGATTTTTGGTTGACATTGTTTAGTCGATCTCATTTCCCATGACTTTCCGTAGGAGAAAAACAATAATCCCGGTATATGTTTTTGAACCTCTGCACTAGTGCTCCGTCCCTCACAAATCTTTCTCCATGTTTGACTTTTCAGTTTCTAAATCAACATTTTGACTATTAATATCACCATTGTATAGGAAAATGGATAAAAGTGATCCAGACTAATACTTGTCCGCTCAAACTAATCTCCCCTATAGATTATTTTGAAATAATCACAACTATTACACTAGTTTTTCTCACTCGTAACCTGTTTGACTTGTGGAAGCGGGTTGTATTTTGAATTTTCTTTTTTAATACTACCTCCGTCCCAATTTATAACGCCTGTTTCAGTTTACGATGTTTGACTGAAATTATTTTCAAATCATTTTATATGACAAATGGTATAGAATTAAAAAATAAAAATTACATATTAAAAAACTACATCAATAGATCTACAAAACTAGTAGTGACAATAATATTTTATTTTATCAAATTGCTAACGAAAATAGAGAAAGAAAGTGAATGAAGTTTGACCCTGTGAATAGTAAACATGCATTATAATTTGGGACAGAGGGAGTACTTTTTTGTTACTTTTTTTTCATTTCTTTATTAATAATTTGTTTCTTTTTTAAAAAATTGAAAAAAATAACGACTGTGTAGCTTTTGCAAGGGAACATATCAGCCTTTCGGGTAAGTTAAGTAACGAACATTGTGCATTGTATGACACTATAATGTAGGGGTGGGTTCGGTTTTGGCGGTTCGGTTTTTATCCAAAACCAAAGACAAAATGGAAGGTAAATTGGCGGTTCGGTTCGGTTCGGTTTTGCAAAAAAAATATGTAAACCGTTAGTTATTCGGTTCGGTTTTATGCGGTTTTTATTTCGGTATATAAAAGTAGAAATTTATAAGCATTAAAAATTTGCAAAAACACTAATTCGACGAAACAATAACAATATGTAGTGTTAGCTTTGGTTTTTTTGTTTGATTTTTACACAAACAAAAACCAAACGGAAGGTTATTGTTCCTTTTGATTCAATTTTACATAAAAAATATGTGTTGAATGCCCGACAAACATTTAGAAGATTTCAAATACTTCCAAAGACATTGTATGTTAAATCAATTACAAAGAATTTATGTTTTTTTGATATAATACGTTCATTTTCATTATAACATCAAAGTATTTTTTATGTAAATATGTAAATTACTCATATCAATTTTTAATGTTAATATAATTCTATATTAGGATTAGCTATTGGTGTTCATTTTCCTATGTTTTTTTAAAGTTTATAATAATATGGCTTGAATTTTTAATTAATAGTTAAGAAAATAATTTTCAACGACTAGTAATTTATTTGCATTTATATTTCTGTAATTTTTCTACATATCACATATATTCATCTAAATAAAGCAAAGTATCTAAGAAAGTTCGGTTTATTCGGTTCGGTTCAGTTTTTCAAAGTGAAAACCAAAACGGAACCAAATACTAACGGTTCGGTTCGGTTTTTTTACATTCGGTTTCGGTTTTTTCGGTTCGGTTTTTTTCTAACTCGTTTCGATCGATTTCGATTCGGTTTTCGGTTTTTCCAACCCAGCCCTACTATAATGCATTCGGTTGATACAAATGCAGGTAAAATTATCTTCCTCTATGGGTACGGAGAAAGTGACAAGACGTATGTCTAGAGAACTTTATCTACTGCAATAGGGCTTTTGGCGATATAGTATTGAATATCGCATCAAGTGGAATAACATCATTACTTTTGCCAGGAGGAAGAACAACCCATTCACATTTTAAAATCTTGTTGAACTCGGATGGAAACTCAACTTGCAATACAAAGCAAGGAACACTACTAGACAACTTTTAGTGAAAATATTTTAATTGTTTGGGACGAAGTACCAATGACACATAAGTATTGCATTAAAGCTTTAGGTAGAAGTTTGCGCGATATTCTACGATTTTCCAATCCAATGAGTGAAAACCAAATGTTCGGAGGAAAAATGATCATTTTTGGTAGAGATTTTCATAAAGTATTGTCAGTAATTCCAAAATAAACCAAATAAGATATTATTAATTTAGCAATTAATTCTTCTTACATTTGGATATATTGTACCGTGTTGCGTTAAACAAAGAACATGAGGTTGCAATAAATGATTCATGAGTACCAATATAGTTTATAAAGAAGTTTTCCAAAATTTGTTATTCATTTGATATTTATGCTTTATAACTTTATATTTGATTTTGCACTCTATTTTTGTTCTTTAATAATGACACCAACTCAATATAGTTTTATAACGTAAATATGAGTCGTGCAACACACGGTGGTGATAATAGTGTTACTAGTGTGCTCATACACATCCAAAAATCATAAAATAACATCATCAAATGCTTTCAACACTTTTGCACGTTTTTCCATGAAATCAAATTCATACATCAGAATAATATTGATGGGATTAACCCGATTGAATGGCGGACCAAGAACGTAATATGAATCAGAAAGATATAATCTCGTAATAATATTCTTTGACTAAGTGCAGAATTGCTTGAGTTGTCCCCCTTACCATGGCGGGTTCTTTTTCCTTTTATAGTAGTTCTAACATTGTAATTAAAATTATACATAATGGGAGGAATTATGGAGATCATGGGGTTGTGATCCCCTCTTTTCCGGTCTCGTTCTCTTCCCATCTCGTCCATAATCTGGTGGTGTGGGCCACGTGCCCCGTTCCTTCTTTGGACTGGGTCGTCTTGATTTAATCCATGATTGGGCCACCATTTCCCCATTCGCCATGCAGATGAAGAAATATAGAGACACCGTGTTGGAGTTGCTTAAGGCATTCGGAGCGTAGTGGATAGAGCAAGTCCCTCGAGAAGAAAATGCTGTGGCGGACATCCTGTCAAAGCTTGGTCCGGATTCCCCAGATCATATCAGGGCGATGACTCAGGAAGAAGAGTTGCTTGAACCAAGCATCAGTCCCGGACAAAATTTGGTCATTACACTCAATGAGCCGGACTGGATTGACGAATTAACTATGTACATCCTTGACGGGTCGCTACCAACAGATCCGGTTGCAGCCAAAGTCGTCAAGCGACGCGCACCTAGCTACACGCTGGAGTGCGGTAGGTTGTATAAGCGGTCGTACAATGGTACACTGTTAAAGTGTTTAAGGGGGGGATGAAGCACAGAAGTTGATGGAATAAATCCATGAGGGGATATGCTCAGCGCACCAGCAGGCTTTTACGATGTCCAGGAAGATAACCCTGTAGGGGTACTTCTGGCCTACGATCATCAGAGATTGCGCAGAGTATGTGCATAAGTGTAAGGTCTGCCAAGAATTTCAAAGGGTTATCTTCCCCAGATCAGCACGGCGATTCCCTTCACTCGATGGGGCATTGATCTAGTCGGCATCCTGCCTAGGGGAGCAGGAAATAACATGTACCTAGTGGTCGCGATCGACTACTTTACCAAGTGGGTCGAAGCCACCCCAGTACCAACCATCATCGAAGAGCAAATGAGCAAATTTGTGTCCAAACAAATTTTGTGCCATTTCGGGGTGCCCCAACAGATCATCACTGACAACGGAACCCAGTTCGAGGCTAAAGGGTTCAAAGAGTTTCTGCATAGTTGGGGTATAAAACATAGCTGCACTGCGGTTGGGTACCCACAGACCAATGGGCAGGTCGAGAATGCTAACCGCACCATTGTGGACGGCTTGAAGAAGAAGATAATGGAATGCAAAAGTGCCTGGGTTGAAGAGTTGCCCTACATTCTGTGGACTTATAGGACCACCCCAAGAAAGGCCACAGGGGGAACGCCGTTCGGACTCACATATGGGTTCGAGGCGAGGGCTCCAGCTGAAACCTCATTGCTGAGTCATAGAGTGGAAACATTTGATGCCCAAGAGAACGAAGAAAACTTAAGGGCGGAGTTACATCTTATAGATGAGCGAAGAGAAAGGGCATACATCCGAGCACAGAACTACCGTCGGCAAGTTAAGTCGTACCATGATCAAAGGGTGCGACCAAGGCTATTCAAAACGGGCGATTGGGTCCTAAGAAAAAGGGAGGTCAGTTGGCCGACCGACGGGGGGAAGTTTGCCAAGAGTTTTGAAGGTCCATACATCATAAAGGAAATGTTGGCCGATGGAACCTTTAAGCTGCAAACACCAGCGGGAGGTGACGTCCCGCGGGTATGGAACGCTGCCAATCTCATCAAATTTTATCAGTAGATTGTACTCCTGCTATGTTTCTCCTTTGAGTTTAATAAAATCAGCATTTTGGCACTTCCTGGTCCCATCTCTTCTTGAATTTTATTGTACAAAAAAAAGGAGCGACCAAAGAGATCGCCAATCGAAGCCACATGGTGATTCACACTAAGATACCCATCAAGGGATGAAATGCTGAACCCAGTTGGTAATCAATTAACCAAGTCCAAATGCTATCAGTGGGTGCTTGATCTACGGCCGCTAGGGCGACCGGTAGGACAACACGCCCTATAGAGGGGGGCGAGGCCGTGAGGAAAAAGCCTTAGAAACGGCTAAGTCCAGAACATGAGATCCAATGGTCGCATGAGCGACAGGGGGACTTGTGAAGAACATGGCGACGCCGTGGGAGCGAAAAGGCCCCAGGAATGGCTAAGTCAAGGGAAGCAAGGGGTTTTTCCAACTGAAGGTTGAGGAGACCTGAATGCTTGAAATAAGGTGCAAAAGATAACTTGAAAAGAAGATGGGACTTGTAAGTAAACAGGTAACATCGAAGTACATTCATGAAAATATCTATTACACATCAAGAATCACCTTTTGCATCTATATATCCAATACAATTGAGAACAACTTCCATACATTCTACATATATTCAAGAGGGAAAATTCTCCCATACATCTTACATACTTTCAAAATGAAAAATCCAAAATCTGCGAGAGAAATGCAGGGGAAAGGGCGAGATGAAGGGTAGTTCTGTAGCTGTGCAAGCCAATAGAACCCCGATCACCAACCGTTACGAGCAACCACCTCTCTTCTCCGACATGGAACAGAGATGGTCGCCCCCTAGCCGCAGCAAAAACCCCCGTCCTTCTCCTGCAAGAGAAGGAGGGGAGGCGACAAACTTTTCTGTGAGCCCCAATTGGCATCACCTAGATGAGGATGAAGACCCTGAAGCGGCACGAGCTACTCTTAGTCGTTTAGGAGTCTTCTGGTGGGGCGAGCGACCAGCGGGGCGTGGTAGGGAAGAATCCAGTTCTTCCCTAGCACAACCTCTTCTTTAGGCCGCACTGGCGAGTTGGTGCGACTCTCGCTGGTCCACTGCTCCAGACTCGTGTAGTATGCTTCTTCATGCTCCAATAGGGGCAGGTACTCATCCTGCACACCCTTCCAAGTCGCATAATGCCATTGGTGGATGGGGCAGGGAGCATCCCAGTCAACCTCTCCATTTGGCAGACGGTTGGCTAAAAGTGCCTTAGACGCCGCGCTGAAATCATCATAAGGGTTTGGCGGAATGGGCAGCGGCTTAACTGAGGGCCACCACTGGCGAGGCAGCCGGCGGCAGAATTCGTAGGGGTCTCCCCCCAGTCGTTGGAGTTAACAGATTTGGGGGAAGAGGCAGGCTCCGGTGAAGAAGGGACTGGCCCATCGGAGAGATTCAAAGAAGTAGGAACTTCTTCAGACATGGAAAAAATGGAGAAAGAGAAGGTGTTTGATGGAGGAGTCAAACGAAGAATGGGGGGCTTATAAATAGCCCCGGGTGAAGAAACCGAAGAGACAGTCAAGTCCCAAGGCAGCTGAACCGATAAAGTAACCTTGAGCCGCGCAAAGGTCCAATCAAGGGCTGTATAGAATGCATTGGGTCAGTTGGGCGGCACGACAACTAGTCCCGAGGCTGGGCCTAACCGTGCAGTTGGGCCGGAGATGGGAGTGAGGCCCAAACTAAAGGCCCATCCGTATCAACAGGGTAAGTCAACTTAAAGGAAAGAGTATAGCAACAAAGCACAAGAAAGTAAAGGCATGTGACGAATAAAGCAAAACAACAAACTTGGGAGTATTGTATCAAAACACCAAGGCCTCCCAAAAATCATAAGTTTTTACAAGTTTAAAGGCAAAAAGACACGGGGGAGGTGGGGTAAATCAAATGCCCGAGCTGGCGCCTCCGCCCGCCTTGGACGTCGCCAAGTTGGCCCCAGGTCCCTGGTCGCCTTGCCCGTCTTGGTCGCCCGGCACAGCTTCTTCTTCTTCCTCGTCAGAGGCACTCGAGCTCCCCTCGTCCAAGTAAGGACCGGGGTCGAACTCAGCCAAGGCACAGCAAGGAGGAGGAAGACCAATATCGGGGAAGGAGAATCCTTTGGGAAGCAGAGCTAGCTTGTTGCGGAAAACCTGTTCGGCGCAGAAAAGTCCGCAGTTGAAGGACTTCTTTGCTTCCTTGACCATCCATTGGACACCGGGCCCAGTCTTGAGCCACTCGACTACCAGCTTGTCCATCCGCTCCATAGCGACCGTAGTGAAATCTGGAGAAAACTTGAATGACTCGATCGCCTCCTCCAAGCGGCGGGCCTTGTCGCTCCTCTCAGCCTCCAGCTATTGGATCAGATCGGCTTTCTCCCTTTCCAACTAAGCTACGCGGGCAGAAACGGACCCTACCTCAGAAGACAAAGAGGCGTTCTTTGTCTCAAGGGCGGCAGAGCGACCTTTCTGTTAGCCTTGGTTTGCTAAGTGTCATGTTTTGATGTTAACAAACAATATAAGAGCTTAACGTTTGTTTAAGTGTTTCAGGTAAAACAAGAATCCATTAAGATTCGGTACTCAAGAATGAAGTCGAAACACTAAACTAACATAAAATATAGGTAGAAACCAATGTAAGGATATGACTTTATGTACCTATATTCACAAGCTCAAAAGCACTCACAAAATATGTTTAAAACCATCCCAAAAACATTTTCAAATATCCAAAAGGTTTAAAACTCAAAGCCTACACGGTACCCCTAGTGGTACCCCAAACGGTAGGGTATACCGCCTACACGGTACCCCCATACTGTGTAACTAGGTACCTCCAGAGCCGAATGGATTTTTAGTGGGACACGGTACCGAGGTACCGCCACTCACGGTACCCCCTTACCGTACTATGCTACCGTGTGGACGGTACCAGCCTACCGTGACCGTTGGGTTACTATTCCTGATTTGTGATTTTGAATTAAATCAACCCTAATCACCTCCCAACGGCTAATTAACATCTTCCACTATAAATACAAGCCTAATCCTTCATATTTCTTTAAGAAACAAAGCTCTAAACATTCTATATTTTTATTCTAAGTGTGTTCATCATTTTATTAATTATTTCCAATATTTTGGCTATTTTAAGAGCCTTAAATTCCTAATTTTTATATACACACTTTGAGCTTGTGTTTCTAGTTATATACTCTCATATTCATAAGTTTGAATTGTATTTTTGAGAGAGTATACTTTACTTCTACACCGGCTAAATTTTGTTTTTCATTTTAATATTCTAGCCATTGTGTAGAATCCTTGATTGTGTTATCAAACACACATTCTTACGGTCGAGAATAGCCGTTAAATTCTCACATTGTAACGGTTAAGGATAGCCGTATAAATCCTTGGGTAAAGGTTCAAGGATAGCCTTTTAAATCCTTGGGGGAACAGTAGAAGATAGCCGTTAAATCTTTGTTGTAAACGGTTCGAGATAGCCGTTGTGAAATCTCGGAGTGAATCCTATTGGCAAGGGTTGTTTGCCAAAACTAGTGCGGTGCTTAGACGGAGTTCAAGAGGCCGGGACTTAGTGGATTCGGAAATCCTTGAGAAGGAGCCTCGAGGTACTAGAGTATGGAGTTCCTGAACCAGTATAAAATCGGTGTGCATTTTATTTACGCTTTTATTTTTGCGTTTTATATATTGCTTCCGCATTTGCCAACACCGTTTTTATTAAACTCCGAAAAGGTTTCAAACGCCTTATTCACCCCCCCTATAAGGCGTGGGCACAACGACTAAAACGACTAACAATTGGTATCGGAGCGGTTTCGTAGTTGAATGTGCTTAACCGCATCTACAACAAAGATCCACTTGTTGTGTCCTTTTTTTAAATTTGAATTTTTAAATATCAAAATTTTATTATTTTCTTTAAATTCAAATTTATTGAAAAATGGCCCAAATGGACTCTCAAAGCATCCACCGCCCTCCGTTTTTCAATGGCCTAAATTATTCTTATTGGAAAATGCGGATGGAATATTTTATTCAATCAATTGATTATGATTTATGGTTGAATGTATTTCACGGGCCATTTGTGCCGAGTAATGGTGATTTTGCAGGATTATCGCCTGAAGATAAGAGAAAGCTATCAATGAACGCAAAGGCAATCAACATCCTCCATTACTCTCTCGGCCCCGATGAATTTGCACGAGTATGCTCATGCAAAACGGCTAAAGAGGTGTGGGATCTACTCCAAGCTACACATGAAGGAGACACCTCAACAAAACAATCCATGCTAGCCCTCGGGAATTCGGAATACGAATCCTTCAAGAAAGGGTCATGTGAGACCATCCAAGATATGAACAAGAGGTTCAACGAGATTGTCAAATAAATTGAGTAAGTTGGGTAAGACGTATACTACTTCCGAGCTTAATACAAAAATTTTATTTTCTTTACCTAAACAATGGCATAGTAATATCGTAGATTTATTACCCAAATGTGATAAGGCCGAAACCGCCCACATTTGGTCTTCCTTGTATTCTCACAAACTTTTGTTGAGAAAGATCAAAGAGGAAGAAATGCATGAAAATCCCAAGCTTACAAACACCTTCAAAGCTTCAAAAGACTCGTCCAGTGAAGAGTCAAGTGAATCAAGTGATGATTCAAGTGACTCAAGCTCTTCGGAAGAGTCAAACGATGAAGAAGATGAAGAGAAGGCGATGAGAATGAAGTATACGGATTTCCTCAAATGGAAGAAATACGTAAAGAGGAAAGAAGTATATTCAAAGCCGAAGACAAAACGGCATAAACCAAGGTAAGTCGTTTTCTAGCTTATTGGGATAAAATATTTTAGTTTTAAATTATTTTCAAAAATAAAACCTTATCCCATATATGACTTAAGCCTTGGTTTGCATGATTAAATAATATTTTCAAAATTCATCTTTAAATCATGTCTTTTAGAAAGTAATCCCCAAATATCCTGGAAAAAAAGTTTTTAAACTTGTATCATTTTAGGGGGGGTTTTCGTTTTTAGGGGAAGTTTCGTTGGAAATGCACCTTTTGCCCAATGATCTCCAAACTATCATTTTTTGAAAATTCATTTTGAAAGGGGGAGGGTTTCAAAAAGTTATACATAGTTAAAATTTTTAAAATGCCCTTTTTGATTTTGACAAAAGGGGGAGAAGATGTATACTTCAAAGTGGTGCATATGCAACTTGACTTGAGTGCATTCTTGTGTAATTTTTTGCATCAAACGTAAACTTTTAATAAACACAAGAAAAAGTTCAAAGTGAGTATGTAACGCCCCAAAACATGGTCTAAAAGTTATTCTACTATAAAACTATTTTTAGAAACCATATTTTGACTCAACAAAACATTATTTCTATGTTTGACCAAAAATGAAGGAATTTTTGGAGTCAATGATTTTTGTTACGATTGACTTTTATGGATAGGTCTCGAAGAGACGAATCCAACGGTTTATTTTATGAGTAAATCTGATGTACAAAGGTTCAGTTATGACATTTTAAATATGTAATTTGTATAAAAATGAGAAAAAGTCAAAGAAGTGAACTTTTGTAAAATGACTTATTGAATAAAATATTTATATTTAATAATATTGGTTGAATATGAGACTAATTTTAATTACATATCAATTAATTCAATTTTGACTCTATCAAAGTAAACACCCAAAAATATGCTGTCAGAAAAAGTATTTCAAATAAATATAAAAATTATATCTGTAACGCCCCGAAACATACCCTAGAATTATTATTAAATAATTATTCGATTAAACAAATTTGTTTTGATTATTATTGGGCTTTGGGCCGATATGAAATATTTTTAATATCCAATATCAAAATCTGGATAAGTCTAATCGAGATAAATCCAATATGTGGACTATTTGTGTGATCTTGATTGGGAACCTGAGTATAGACCCAAATTAAGAATAAATGAAGAAATTGTTTATAATGTGAATTTTGAAATGATTTATTGAAATAAATCATGGGAATAAATAATATGAATTAAATGTAAGAACCTTTTTGAGTAAAGGTCAATTAAATCAATTTTGACTCTGTCAAAGTCAACCACCCAAAAATATGATGTCGGAAAAAGTATTACAAATAAATATAAAAATTATATCGTTAGATAGAGTTTAACTGCCCGATCGCAACGGTGCAAACGGAATTCAATTCGGAGAAAGTTGGACCAAAAAGTGTACCCCGACTGGAACCAAAATTGGTCCCAATCAGGGACACTGTGCGAACGGCGCCTCCTTCTCCACTACGCCGATCGTGAATCACAATTGACTCAGCAACCTTTGTAATCTACTTCTCTTCTTCCCTATATAAGGAGAAGCAACCCTTCTCATTTCTACACCATTCTC